TGTAGAGCTCTCTCTCAGTAAAATCTTCCAGCTGATGGGACAGGGCTATCTTTTGAAATGAAGAACTGGATGTCTCGCTTAATGTTTTGACTCGGTTTCTTCTTTTCATGGAGGGGAAGAGGTGTGGGGGTGCACACCTGAAAATGTTTGTGCATTTTATCAAAATATATTCAGTTTCTGTCTTCAAGATCCACTCGACAAAAAGAAATCACCCTGCCCCCCCCCGCACTCCTCCACTGAAATCCGATTTGAAAGACAGGTGGAGAAACCTTTAGTTTTTTTTTTTCTCTGTTAAAAACAGTCCAGAAAATATTGCCAATGCTTCTTTCTTGTCGGCCATGTTTGTTTACTCTGAACTCATGTTTTATCTCGTGAGGTTTTTGCGAGATTTCCCATCTGACATGTGAGTGTTGGTGTGTAGGTTTAAGCCGTTCCGTTCACCAAAATGTATTACCAAACCTGTTATATCGATATTTTTATCATCAGGTCTCAGGTTTTGAAAATCGTCCAACAATTTTACAATCTTGCCCTATGAACCAGGCACTGGAGGCTTCTCACCTGTTTTGCTTCTCCTCTCACTTCATTCTTAAACACGTCAGTGTTGCTGGAAATTGCGAAGTTTTGTTTTCTCTCAGTAACAACATCCACACTTGAAGTGTGTTGTCATTTCAACCAACTAATGCTTCTGAATGAACAGATTGAATTTTTGTGTTTCTGATCAGCAGATCGCCACCAATCGTAGCCATTCAAACACAGAACTGGTCAGCTTCCCGTAACCTGACGGTTTTGATGGAAACGACGTTGAGGCGGAGTTCAAAGTTCAGAGAGAGTCGTCACCACGTGCTCACAGGAGGACGGGTCGCCGGCTGTCACGGGCTTTTAGATGTGTACAGCAGGGAGGACTCTCGAACGAGCTAAGGCGACAGTCGGGTCAGACGATCCAGCTCGCTGTGATCTGAGAGGTGGGAGGGTGAGGGGCTTCCTTTTGTAGCCATGAAGAGCAGCAGCAGCGTTTTGAAATGGATACAGGCGCTTACTGAGAGCCTCGGGAGCAGATCGAGCGGAGGCGGGGCGCAGCCTGGAGGAATGTAAGCCGAAGCTAGCGACTGGGGCCTGGCCAAAAAGGGAGTAACGGGAGCAAAGACGGGTGTTTCTCATCCGTCTGCAAGCTGAAAAATGATAAAACGACTCAACATTTCAGAATTCAGACCAAGTGTTGATGCCGCCAATGCATCCGCTTGAGTTTGACTGCATTTTCTGATGAAGCCGTTGCACAGGGCATGGCTTTATTCCTCGAGGATCCATCCGAGAGGCGCACAGTCTCTGCCCTCTTTTGCTCCTCTACTGTAAATCTTTACGGTCAGAGATCACAACGCCTGCAGGCACTTCCAATAAAAAAAGTCTCTGAAAAGACAAGTGCTTTTGTTGAACATGTCAGAAGGGGGAGGGGATGGTCAGTCCCTAGATGACTTTCCAGGCAGTGCTATCAGTGGCTTACTTGATTAGTGCATTGAAGTTTGATTTATAAGATCTGCAACTGTGTTTTGTCTCCCATGAATCAACATCCTTATTGAATTCTTCACGATTTCCTGAGCATTGTTGGAGTTTCTAAACACTAATGACTTCCTAACCCGTCTAATGTTCTTTCTGTTTTCTTTTCCCCAAGAACTTAGAGGGTTATCAGCTATGTTCCTCATTTATAATGCTAAAGATAAAAAGGACTTATCTGGTATGTGCTACCACGGTAGGATAGCTCTCATGTCCTCGGTTATAAAGGCTTTCACTCTCCTTTGTAGTGACACTGTTGTTGCGAAGCAGCAATGGAAGCATCTGGCAGATGCCTCGGGCCGCGGCGGTTCAGTGAAAGTAGATCTGTGAGGAGAGGGAGCTCCATCATGGGTTGAGTTGGACAGGGTGTGGGGGGAATCTTCCACTTTGTTTCCCTCAACACAGTGACAACCACTGGGGACCCACCAGTTACAGAACACGTTCATTTTTTTGTTGTCGTATTTTTTATTGCTGGGTAGACTTGAGGCATTCCAGAACAAGGACCGAGCCAAAGCTTGAAGTAGGTGGGTCTGTTTTAAAGTCTGTGGCCATGGAGCTTTGAGGGATCACCACCGGAGCTAACCTGCTTGAAGAGTCAGGCATGAAAACTAGGGGTGCAAAGACGCGTGAAACTGACGTGCCACGCACGACGTGCAACATTTAAATGTGGATACGCTGGGAATTCACACCCTGGCAGGCGGTTAGTGGTCCCATCAAGGGAACCACTGAAGAGAATCACCGTGATCTTTGATTATCAAGGATTGTAAACCTCAGTATCTCCACGCGCAGCGGCCCCACAGCGGGTATACGATGTTATTCTCAGTCAAGCATGATCCAATTAGCGCTGTGGGCATCGAGTGGAGAGTGACTCTAATGCTCACACTTCTTGGAGAGCATGGATCTTGAGTATGGATTAGGAATTCCCTGGAGTTGCAACTGTCTGTGACCTCTTTGTCAAGGGTTATTGGCGTAGTTAAACCAGAGTGTTGTTATGTACTCAAGCCTGCTGCTCATCAGTCATTTCTGCAGTTTCACAAGAAAAATAAAAATAAATAAATAAATAAATAAAATTATTTTCATTCTGGGCTAATTGGCTTCATGTGTTTTCTGACTGCTGGCCAGGACAGTCTTTTGTTTTGTTTTTGCAATAATTGGTTATTTTGAAATATGTTAGAACCATGTAATATATCTTTTTAAATGCAATTTTCAGCCTCCTTGAGAGAACGCCATGTTCCTCCAGCCACTTCTGTTATGCCATGTTTATTAGCGGTTCACATAATTGACCTGTTTGTTTTTGAGGATTTCGGTTCTTTGGACGTGAAATTGGGAAGTCATTTTAATTAGCGGCTAATTTAGCCACATGTTTTTTTGTTTAGTTTTGTTTTGGGGTTTTGTTTTTTTTACAGTTATTCCAGACAATTCGCCTGCTCAAGATTGTGTCCCATTTTGCATAGTAAGCTGAATAATAAAGGAATCATAAAAACATAGATTGTATTGCATTTTATTTAGAAAAATGTTGATTCCCTTAAGCTATGTTAGCTTTACTTTGGTTAGCATAAAATTTAGATGCAAGAAAATCACTTTTGCACTCTCCTCCACCTCCCAAATACGGGAGGTGGAGGAGATTACATATACTAAAGCGTGCTGCGTGTAATCTTCTCATAGTTTAGGGTTTTATACATTTGATGGTTTTAGATTTCTTTGCTGTTTTTACTGCTTACATTTAACTAATGCTGTTACTAACTAAACGACTTTTTCTGAAGTTATTGCCATTATGCAAGTATACTATATCATAACGCACGTATTGTTCTTATCTTAATCTTGTCAAAATGCAGCACATGCCTTCCCTCTCTCCAGCAGTGTGCGTTACTTTCCTTCCTTATATTCAGTTCACTTCTCTCATGACTCTGTAGTGCCTCAGCTGTCAGTTCTTATCTTAAATCTTCTCTGCGGCGGGTACAGGAGCAGAAACACGTTTATGACACAAATGTTCTTAACACCTCTTCATTAACGCTGAAGCATTTCATCAAAAAAAAAGGACTGAGGGCAGATTTGACAACATGATTTATGGGATTTTCTTCACTTTTTTTATGTCTAGTAACCCATGCCCTTTTATAGTTGCTGTCTGTGCTAAATCACTTTTGAGATTCCTGAACATTCATTATGTGGAAGAGCTTAGGACTGCCATACCAGACTTGTACTTTTAGCTGTATTACATATTTATATTACAGAAAGCAAACAGGGAAACTAACAAAATGGAAGACGTATATTCCATTTTGTCTTCTTTTCAGACCTGGAATATGCTAAAGAAAAATAAAAAGTTTTTCTTGCTTGTCAATACTTTGTTAGGAATAAATTAATTAATTAAATAATTTATATATATATATATATATATATATATATATATATATATATACATAAACATCTTAATTTTGACAAAGACTTATTGAATGCAAGAAAGCTATTTGTTAAAATTTTAATAGTTTAGTTTTGGGGGATGAGCAGCACCCCCAAAGGGGTGATAGACAGCGCTAAGACCCGCCTCCTGGCTCTGATTGGTTGTTTCTAGATGATACTGGGAGAAGGCAGACAGCTCAATTTCTTTTTTCATAGAATATCAGTCTCGTACCATACGACATGTTGACAGTTTCAATAAATGTAAACTTTTCACTTTTTCATAAAAGTAAAAGTCACATATTGCATCTTTAACTAGGTTATTTTAAAAGACATTCAAAAAGGGTGAAACTAATGTAAACCCTTTCTTCTTGTTTACATTTTTAAATCACGTGACTTAAATCCACAAGAAGCGTCGGCCTCTTGAAGCCACTATTTCAAATTTGAGTCTCTTGTCTGCGATGTGGAAAGTGAGCCTCTGAAAAGGTTTACCTCCTCTTTGATGTTGAGGTCTGCACCGATCCCTGAACCCACCTGAATAGTTCACGCTCATATTTCTGTCTCTAGAGCGTCCTCACTGGCTTTACGAGGCCCTCTCTGCGTCATTGTGTCATCCAGAAGGCATTACTGAACACGACGCCCGCAGATGTTTTTCAAGACGCACGAATCCCTCTAAGCTGCGTTTCTGCGTCGAGCTTTCTTTGCGTCATGGCAGGAACGCCGTGAGCCCCGTCCGACTGACCCGTCCTTTCTTTCCCACCCTCTGTTATTAGCTCGCCCTCAGGGCTGCTTTTCTTCTCCCTCGGTCCCGTGCTCTTCCTTTAAACAACAGAGAGCATGTTTGTTCTCTAAAATACTTGTCGTATTCTGGTGACATTTGTTTACACTCTGGTACTTCTGGTGGACACCCACCAGGAATGGAGATGTAATTTTAGCCCGGGTAAATTGTTTCCCATCTACAACCAAAATAAACCCAAGTCTGCTCCCTGGAGGTGTTTTCCATCCACTTACTTTAAGCTCTCTTCTTTTTCCCCCCACCCCCTCACCTTTCTCCGCAGATGAAACTGTGGAACAAGTACAAAGTAACCAGCATTCCTTCGTTGGTGTTCGTGGACGCTGCGACAGGAAAGGTGGTGTGTCGAAACGGTCTGCTGGTGGTGAGAGACGACCCTAAAGGTGAGAACAATGACCTGCATGCGCACCGTGTTGTGACCAACACTCAGATTCATTTCTCACTTTTTTTTTCTCGAAGCTCTGACCTTATTTCACTTCACTGGATGGTTTTGGAGTTTGGGGTTAATTTTAACCATTAAGCCTTTCAGGAAACCACCGTTTATAAGGCCAACCAAACGCATAACAGGGTAAAAAGGACAGTAGAACATATAAATTTTCCATGTCATGGCTTTATTACCCTGAAATCTTGGTGGGAAGCATTCATCATTCGCTCTGGCTTGTGGGTAACACCCAGCATTACTGTGGCTGCGTAGGAGACAATCTGGTGTTACAGTATGTCATTACACAAAAACTGTTATTGTATGCAGGGGGAATTACTGTTATGTCAAAAAGAAAATGCACAACCAAATAAATCATTCAAAATGGACAATTTATGGCGATTATACTGAAGAGTTTATATACGCAATGTAGTTGTAATGCATAATCCAGTTTCACCTACGTAGTTGTAACTGTATTTACTGTGTCAATGTCCGAAACAGTTAAAGTATGTTTGTAGCAAACGTTTCCTTTCTGGATTAATAATTTCTGGTCCTTTTGGCCCAGAATAGTAATAAAGTGTGCTAAAGCACAAAGTCTGAATGTTTAAGTGAGGTTATGATGTCAGAAAATTATTTCAAGAATGAATTTTGGTGCAAAATTATATCTGGGCTATAAAGGCAAGTATATTCATGTATGTTCAAATCCCCGAGTATTAAAAGAAGCCACTGTCTCACAAATGGCAAACATGGCGCCGGTCATCAACACTAAAACTTGCTGCTACGTCTGAAGGCCAGATGTGCGTCTCCCAGCAAAGTCGGCATGACAGATTCTCCAGTCAACAACCACTGAAAGGATGGAAAACCATTCTGGAAAATATGATGGAAGTTATGTTCCAACTGGTTGCAGCTCTGGAGTGACATAAATCTTTAAAATTCATTTTCTGGCATTCTTTGTCTCATTTTCTAATGACTTTCGGTGTGGCTTTTATGGCACATGGAACTTTTTTCTTTTTTTTAATTATTTTTTTAAACTGAATTCCTGAAAATGCCAGGAATAAAACAAACTGTAAGGAAAGTGAATTAGAATTAGAGCTCCCACCAATTAAACAGGCTTAGCAGTTCAATTAAATTCAAATTCAGTTCAAAAATACTTTATTGATCCCACTGGGAAAATAAGTGTTGTAATTATTATTAACTCATTTTTCCTTAGAAGTAGTCAAATATTGAAAAACAATTATTCAAAAACAATAAAGCATTTAGTCTGTAAATGCAAAATAGATATGGACAAAATGTAATAATGTCAATTCTTATTATTACATGCATGTTAATGATGCTGTAATAATAATCCAGGTTAAAACCCTTTACTTGTACAAGCTCTAGAGTTTAGAGTTATAACTTTTCCTCCTTGTTTGGGTTAATGCAACTATAATTCTAGTGCTATAATTCTGTGATTCTTACAATGTGACCATTTCACAGCGACTTATCTGGAAAAACCTGTATTCCATGCACTTTGAAGTGAAGACAGATAATTAACAAAAGTGAGGCTGCATTTATTTCGTCCTCTGCAGCTGAAGAAATAAAAAATCTTCCAAAGTGCCTCATCTCTGTCTGATGTTGGGGGAAAATAAAGGGAAACATGTTGTTGATGGCAGGAAAACAGAAAAGATGAGGGAACAAGAGTATCTCAGGATTTTTATTAAACCCTCCTCAGACTCCCATTTTTTTTTTTTAAGAGAAAAGATTGATCTCTGCAAATGAGGATTTTTCAGTGAGTATAATCTTGGACTTGATATTTTCTGACTTTTCTGTCATTTCACTGATTTATTAATCAGGTGTGACAATGTAACAAACCGATCCCTCTCCTGCAGTCCTACGTTTTGGTGTTTGAATTGGAAAAGGGCAGTAACACCGGGGGTTTTTTTCTGCACGCTGAAACTGGGAGGGGTGTGTGAGAAAGGACCCTCAGTAATGTTCTCTCTGCCTTTCACTCTCTGTGAAAAGGCCTGACTTGAGTGGCGGCAGACTGGCCTGCAGCGTAAAGATGGAGTGCACGTTTACAATCAGGACAACAATGAAAGGGAACGCCAGCGCAGCACAGACGTGTCCTTCCTGCCTAATGAAGCACTAGACAACCGCGCTCACATAAAGAGGCTATTATGATCAGCCATACAAGGTTTTATTTATTATTACCCTCCAGACCCTCGGTTTTTGGGGGGGGGGGTTTTACCAAATGCATCTCCAGAGCAGGAGCAGGACAATGAGAGCACGCTGAAAAGGAAATGAAAAGTGTCAAAAAGAGCTGGAGGGCAGAATTACAGGCAGCAATGATTTGCTTGAGAGGCTTGGCTTTTCATGTTCATTAAAACTGTTTTTTTCTTCTTCTTTTTTGTATGCGTGTGTGTGTTTGGCATGTGTGTGTGTGTTTCAAAAAGTAGATGTCACCAAAAAATAAAAAAAATTTGCAGCTTGGTGTCTGGAATCAGACAATTTGCTGCTTTTTTTTTTCTTTTCTTTTTTTTTTTTTACTTTATTTCTGGCCACTCTGGATGCACATCAAGTTAGCATTCAGGTTTATGATGGCATGTTTTGTAAGTAGTGTGAAAGTTTTCATGTACTGAGTTATTATCATGGATGTACACGGTAGATTAAGATTTGCACAAAACGGTTCAAGATTTACAATTGTAGTCAAACAATACTAAAAACACACTACTTACAGTTTTCAACAACTTTTATTGGTCATTAGAGCTAATAGTTAGCATTAACAGAGCCTGCTGTTGTTGGGACGCAACAGCAGCTTGTAGTGGCTATTTTAGTCAAACAAAACTAAAAACAAAAGATGATGACCTTTCTCAAACCAGTTTTCAACATTTTTTTTTCTTTGCCATTAGTGCATTTCAGGCTAACATTTAGCACTGTGAGCCTGCTGTTGTTAGCATGCTACCAGCAGTTTGTAGTTGCTTTCTGGACAAGCTTCCAGACAAATAATGAACCAGTAATCTCTGCTCTACCTGCCTGCTGTTAAACACGTAGGAAATGAAACATATTTTTTTGTCTAACAAGACTAAAAGTAAAGATGGTGACCTCTCTTCAAACTGTTTCCAAAAACTTTTATTAGCTACAAGTGCAATTAGCGCTAATAGTTAGCACGCCAACAGCGGTTTGTCATTCAGTTATGGACAAGCTTCCACACAAATGATGAATCGGCAATCTCTGGTCCACCTGCCTGCTGTTAAGCATTTAGGGGATTTTCTAATTTAGTCAAACAAGACTAAAAATGAAGAATGATGACCTTTCTTCAAAGTGCTTTCAAGGACTTTTATTAACTATGACTGCTGTTGGTGCTAATAGTTAGCACCATGACCCTGCTATTGTTAGCACACTGTTTGTAGTGTTATTATGAACAAGCTTCCTAACAAATAATGAACGAGCAATCTCTGTTCCGCCTGCCTGCTGTTAAACATTTAGGGGACGTTTACTATTTTCATCAAACAAAACTTAAAAAAAAAAAAAAAGAAAGAAAGATGGTGACCTTTCTGTTTTCAACTACTTTTATTAGCTAATGATTAGCCCTGTGAGCTTGCTGTTGTTGGGGTGCCAACAGTAGTTTGTAGTTACATTATGGAGAAGCTTCCAAACAAATAATGAACCAGTCATCTCTGTTCTACCTGGATGTTAAACATTTAGGCCTTCAGCTGTGAATTTAGCAGTAATCTCTTCCCATGTTTCCCCTCCACCCCTCCTCTCAGGTCTGGAGTTCCCCTGGGGCCCGAAGCCCTTCGCAGAGGTGGTGGCGGGGCCTCTGCTCAGGAACAACAGGCAGACAGCAGACAGCAGCTCTCTGGAGGGACACTATGTGGGAGTGTATTTCTCAGCACACTGGGTGAGTGAGGAGTGAGAAGACAAAGAGGAGCCCCTTTTTGGTTTTTTTGGTTTAATTTCCAGGCGTCTGAACTCTTAAAAACTGACAGCAGATCAGAGCAGGAGGAGGTGACTCCGCTGTTCGTCTGTTTACATTAGAAGCAGTCGGCCATCTTTGAGTCCTTTCTCCACCTCTGGACCTGCAGCCCACTACACCTCAGTGGGCTGCAGCCATTTGTCCGATAGCCGACCGAGGGTTCATGACTGGGCGATGATCCGTCGCTGAGGAGACGCAGCTCGTCGGGTCTCCTAAAGCAAGTCAGCACAGCAGTTGGCAGAGCCGCAGCCGGTTCAGAGCGGTGACGCCTCGATGTACTGGCTGGAGTCCCGAGCACATTAAAAACTGGAACAGAACAGAGTCACAAAAATGCCATTAGAGCAGCGTTTTCATCTCTGCTCAGTCGTTTGATGAAACCAGGAACACCAGCACCTCAGTATGGAGCTTTCTTCACTGTGGTTTTCTCCTCAAAGCAAGAGATTTTTTTTGTGTGGTTTGTTGTTTGGGAGAAATTTCTACCTTCCTTATCCCACACTCTAAACATTGTGTCTGTCTGTCTGTTCGTCTGTCCGTTAAGCCATCATTTTGTCTAGATGTCCATTTGACTTTCTGCCTTTTTGTCCACACATGCAGTCATCCATTCATCCATGTTTATAAATGTTTGTATTTTTGTCCATCTCTCTATGCATTTGTCCATCCAGTCATTGTTTTGTTCATCCGTAGTTTTGTCCGTCTCTGCCCTTTTGTCTGTCCATTCATTAAGTGTGTTTGTCTGTCTCTGGGCGTGTTCTTTAGTATTTTTGTTCATCGATCCATTGAAGCTCCAACCCCTTCATAAAAAAAATAAATAAAAAATTCCCCTTGTATGTGACAAAACCACACTAAAATTAAAGAATATCTGCTGTGGTTGATGGGTTTTAGTTTTTCAACTTCAAAGCTGCCAATGGTCCCTTTTCTGGGCCCCCAAATACAAATGAACTGTTTCCATCAACATTGACATTAAAGCGCGAGATGGACGATGGAAACACATTTACCTGAATAAGTTCTGACGTAGCAGATGCACAAAACTTTTCAAAGTAAGACTCTCTCCAGTTCTATGAGCTGCTAGATTGCAACCTCTGCAGATTTTTTTTTTACTGCAGCCTTGTGCAGAGGTTAGCAGAGTTCTCAAAAATGTTAAAATTAAGATTAGCACTAATTCAACATATGTATATTTCCACTCAGTTAAAAGCAAAAAGTAACAGTCCAAGAAATGACTCCAGAAAAAAGTATTTGGTTAAAAAGGCTGAGGAACTGATCAAAGCATCAATCATTTAATATCTTAAAATAACGTCAGCAGGCTGATCAAAGTCTAAAGTTTAGTGGAAGTTGTTAAAGACCAAAATGAAAATAATTCATATAACAAAACTAGGCAAAATAAAAAAAAAATTCCAAATTAGTTTCTTTCAAAATAAAACTTATGAAAACTTAACAAAAGCTGCATGGATGTGCGTGTTTGATCAAAATAAACTTGTTCTTCATTCAGTATCCAGAAGTTTTACTTGAGTAAATGTAGCAACGCTTTATAATAGAATTACTCAAATAAAAGTAAATAATGGAGTGTGGTAAAAAAAAAAAAATTGTAAAATTCCCAAAACGTCGCTAGTTACTCCCAAACTCTGGCCATGCGTAGCGTCAACGTCTGAAGAAATTATGACTTTAATTTTGAAACTAGCCTGGTTGATTCGCTCCAAACCAGTACGTAAAACATGCTTAATTCGCTTTTTTTTATTCTTTCTTTTATGTGAGTGACATTTAAAAGAAAAAAAGACATTGGATGGAAACGTATCGACTGTTGGTGTGTTAAAGTTTTACCTTTATGTTTAGAAAAGAGCGGCAAACGGAGCCTGGGAACGGCAGGGAATCTAGGCCGCTCTGTTTTCCCTCCTGACTCTCTGATGTCATCCTAATGCCAGCCATACCAGCGCTCCCTCCTTCTGGTTGGACTGGAACACACACACACAGCAGAGCAAACATTTTCCTGATCTGCAGTAATGCATCAGGATTAGGAGCTGGCGTGTGTGTTTGAAAAAAAAGCTGGATACAGAACCGGAGAGAATTACCAGTTTGTTGGAAAGGTGTTTGGTGACAAACATGTGAGAGTCATGAAACGGCTTCGGCTCGGTTTTCTTATAAAGGTTCTTAGAAAAATGGGAAAGCATGAAATATACTTTTAATATTTTCCGGATTGCGATAACTATGTTAGCAAAAAAGGGGGCTTGGAGGTAAAAACTTTTTTTTTTCTTCCCCAGACTATGATTTACAAGAACCAGACTTGTCCTAATTTATAATTCATCCAGATTCTGTTCAGCTTCCAATTATTTGGAATATATATATATATATATATATATATATATATACACACACACAGGATAAAAGAAGTGTGTCTTAAGGGGCCTTTGCAAGTTAACATGAAGCTACTTAATAAAAAGAAAGATCCCTAAGTAAAAAATGGTTTGCTATAGGACAGAAAATGTTGGAAAAAGGAGACAAATTCCCCCAAAGAACTAAGCCGTGAAAACAATTGATCAAATCCAGTTTAAGGTCAGATTCTTACCAATGCATGCCTCCTGTCATGCCTAGACGCTTCTGAAACGAGTAAAATGTGAAAATCTCGTTCATTATTTCGAAGGTTTTACTTTTTTACAGTCTCTTTAGATCCTCTTCAGCGGAAACAATTAGTTTTTTTTTCATGGGGGGAAGCGGGGTTTGGCTCCAGTGAAATGAAATGCTTCTGTGTGTCTCCTAGTGTCCGCCGTGTCGCAGTCTGACTCGAGTCCTGGTGGAGTCCTACCGAATCGTCAAAGAGTCCGGTCACAAGTTTGAGATCGTGTTCGTCAGCGCCGACAGGTGAACGTCGCTGCCGGTTCATTCTGTTCGTCAAGTGTCACCTCTGCGTCCGTCTTCTCAAACAGGTACAGGAGTAAAAAGCAGAGCTTCGTCTGAATGTTCTCTTTCCATTTTAGGTCAGAAGAGTCTTTTAAGCAGTATTTCAGCGAGATGCCGTGGTTGGCCGTCCCGTACTCAGACGAGGCGCGGAGATCTCGACTCAACAGGCTGTATGGGATACAAGGTATTTTAAATTTTGCATCTACAAACCTCCAATAGAAGTAGGGAAAATATATACAAGTTATCTACTAATTAGTTATTCTAAAGTTTATTGATTTTAAGGATTCACTAAGGATTCATTTATAAGCGGCCATTTTTTTTAAAAGCCGAGTTTTCTCTTGTATCAAGAGGGTCGACCATGTTTCCATAACATGAAAGCTCAATTTTTCATAACATGTAAACTTAATAAAAACATGTAATTCAGTTTTAATGTCTTTTTTTGTCAGCTGTATTAAAAATTGACATTATTAAACTTATTTGTAAAATCTAACAAAAGAGGAACCTTTTAGCTAAATGGAAAATAAAAGATGAAAATGATAAAATATGTGAATCACTTAATCCCACATGAACAGAGAGCTGTTTATGCAGAAGCAGACTTCTCCATGAAGTGAATCTTAAAACTGCACATCATAAAGTGAAATAACTCACAACATCATGTTTGTTTCTTTTTTTTCATCATGTTGCAATTTTTCTCCTCCGCTTGGATGTAGTGGTTAAAAAAAAAGAAATTTTGAGATTTATCTCAGAAATTACCTAGGAAAAACATAGTGATTTCAAAGTTTCAAAAATTGCATGTTTTTTGACCTCAAAGATTTTCCACTTTTGATGTCTCCGAAATGTCCAAGTGTTTTTTGTAGAAAACTTATGAGATCTCAAAATTTCTGAGTTTTCTTTTTTCTAATCAATTACTGACGTTTCAAGCTCCAAAATTTTCAAGAAAAATTTCTGAGACGAATCTCAAAATTTCTGAATTTGTTGGTGGAAATTTACTCCTCCTTTATTTCTTTTCATCTGCAATGGCCCTGTTAGGCCGTTGTACATCCTCGTCTTCGTAGCACATCGGTAACCTCTGAACGAGGTGTCGACACTGCTCCACCAAGCAGCGTCACTGAGGTAAAACTTAAGGATCTTGTCAAGTGTCAATATTTCAAAATGGAACCACATAAAGTGCATTTCACATCCAACACCAGTCTCTGCTCAGATTATGACTGGTGGTGGCCTCTGCTGGACGGAAGCCAAACTACAACACCCAAAGCGAGTCCAAGCCGACGTTATCAGTTAATCGATTGGAACTAATTTTCAATCTAATAAACTTATAATCGACAATTAATGACAAGTCGTCCTCATCCCCAGAAGCTGGTTTATAATTTCTGCCATGCTGGGTTACATCAGACTGCTGACAGCTCATTGCGACCAGCACAGATTCGCCCTGAGGAATGTGGACCGGTTATCGAGTTAACCGTCTCTCTGATTGCAGAAGTGAAGCGTCTCTCCTTCGCTTTTCCCCTGATTGTCTCCTCTGTGCTGCGGAGGATGATGTGAGCTGGAGCTGGAGCTGGCTCTGTCCTGTGAAGAATGTCAGGAATGCCCAGAGGACGAGTCAATAGTCCTGTCCCTCCCCCCCTCCCACATCCAGCTTAAACTCCTGCAGTCCATGATTGCCTCCTCTTTTGCAAACCTCAGTCCACATGTGCAGCTCCCTGACTCATGAACCACTTGCTGGCTCACGGCGGCTGTTTCTGATAAGAAACAGACACTCTTTTTTTTTTTTTTTTTTTTTTTGCAAAGTAAGGGGAATGTGTTTGTAACAGCAAGCTATAGCAAAAGTACTTTCCAATAAAATCTATTAAAAGGAGGGGAAAAAAGAAAGAAGAAAAATCTCCACGTAGCAAAGAAAACCTCAGCGGGAGAGTGAGGCAGGGAGGGGGAAGCGTCCGCTCCACGGAGCGATAATTGACGGAAATGACCCACGCTCTTTGCCCGTTTCCTTCCCCTCCTCTGTTCGTCTGCCTCTTATGTCACCCTCTTTCCGTCCTGCCCTCCCTCCAGGTATTCCCACGCTGATCCTGCTGGACGCCGAAGGCCGTGTGATCACGCGACAGGGCCGCGTGGAGGTGCTGAACGACCCGGAGTGCCGGCTCTTCCCGTGGCACCCGCGGCCCGTGCTGGAGCTGAGCGAGGCCAACGCCGTGCAGCTCCATGAGGGGCCCTGCCTCGTCCTGTTTGTGGGTGAGCTGACCGGGCATCTGCCATTTGGACCTAGAGGCACAGAAGGGGGTTAAATGTGATGCGGAAAGCTGGTCGATTTTATGCCTTTTTTTTTTTTAAAAAGGTGAGTTTTCTCTTGTACCAAGAGGGTCAACCGTCTTTTCATAACCCATTTTGTATATTCTACAGATATAAACTGGGTTTCTGTCTTGATTTCAGAGTTATTTGAGACACAATATCACACATAATTTTTCATTCTGATAAGACTCAAGCAGCACTACTTTGTGTTGGTTTGTTACAGAAAATCTAAAAGAAAATGCATAAAATATTCAAGTTGTGTGAATAAGTGTAGATAAAGTGTGGGAAATTCTTCCTGAGTATAAAAAAAGTTTCTCTTATTCTTGAAATCCTTAAAAAGTGCTTCATTTCTGATTCAGACTGCACAGTTTTGTAATAAAGTTCAATCTAGTATTTGATGAAAAGTTCAAATTCAGAAAAAAAAATTAAGTTGGAATCAGATATTTATGCTTGTTGCTGAAATAGCAACAAGCAGCACTACTTTGCTGCTTGTTGAAATAGTTTAAATATTAGAAAATGTTTGAAAAGTGTACCAACCGAGTTTCTGTATTTGCTTAGTAGATTTTTTTTTTTATCTGGATGGGAACCAAATTTGATGACTTCTTATAAAACTGAGGAAAGAAAAGAAAGATGCACAATAACAACTCTTGAATTTGTTCATCAGTCTTCTGATGAACAAATTCTGTAGCCTCTGTTTCCTTTCCCTCTTTTAAACAGGGGTTTCTTTTAAAAGAAACAGGGTTTCTTTTAAAGGTTGGACTGTGACTCTGTCCAACCTTATTCAGATGCTGAAGAGGAAGGTGAACTGGAGCCAGCCAAGGAGTTGATTCAGCCAATAGCAGAGAAGCTCATGGCCAAGTATAAAGCCAAGGAGGAGGAAACGCCACTGCTGTTCTTTGTTGCCGGAGAGGTGAGAGGAAGTGTCTTAAGTGCCACTCGACACAAAGAGACATTGTCTCTTTGCGATAATTCACGAGCTTCAGAGCTTCTATATGCGTGGAGTTTGTTTCCACAAAGGCGTATATTTTTACATCCGTTTTCTCTCATTGCCTGTTGCTGAGCTGGCGATAAATTCCACCAGGTTTGATTTCCAGATTGGGTTCACAGTCGGATATCGGTCCTCGCTCCAAGCTTTGAGCAGAGCTTCCAGGGCTGTGGGCCCACAGTCCTTCACTTGGGCCTGGGATCACCTAGGTCGTCGCCGTGTCGGTTGCCAAGCCAGCTGCTGGGAGTCGATCTCAATGAGAAGGCTGGCAGTTCTTCAGAGAAGAGGCCAGGCAGAAGAAAACGATTCAGAACATTTTTTTTTTTTACTAGTGCTGTCAACCGATTTAAAAACTTAATCAGACTGATCACCTTCTACCTCTGTGATTAATAATGATTAATCACTATGCTTAACTTTTTAAACTTGAAATTGGTTTCCTGGGAAAGCCCCTTATCTGATTGTTTTGGGGGTTTTTTGATGGGGGTTTTTTTCGCAGCAGAAAGCAGGTAATGTAGTCGCCAGTACTAAACAGCATCTAAGGAAAACTTACTCCACTACAAATGCATACATTTAATGGCAAACTTGTTTAGGGGACAACTGACATAATTTTTATTTTCTACTTCTTGAGTGTGTCACCCCTTTCTGATGCCACCCTGGGCAATTGCCTATATCAAAAACTGAATGAAATTCTTTAATAAAGTTAATTTCAGGGTCTGTATTGCATTTAAATCAAAAACTATATCAACAAAATAAGCATCGCTTTAAGTTCAAAAACCTTTTTTGCTTCCAAATCATTGAATAAAAAGATATGAGCTCCACGACAAAGATTTTTATTGTTCTTAATCTGTGAGGTTATTCAAGCTCGGTTCACTTCTTTGAAAAAAATCCATCTTTAGAAATACAGGCACTGAGATTAGCGTCAGGAACGTCTGTGCTGCTGCTACGTGTTTAGTTTTAAGATGCTATTTTAGCTTTGAGGAGGCTAACTCCTTTTAGCATAACTTGTTTACAGCAGCGTCTGATCATATCATTTTTCGAAGCAAGAATTAAACCCCAATTGGGCCAAGAGGAGCAGCTTTGTCCTCCATTGCTGTTGTATGCGGATGTGGTGTGTGTGTCAGATTTGCGGATGTACCAGAAACGCATGAATGGAAAGGTTCAGGCTGGGACTTGTACATTAAAAACAAATTGAATAATTTAGCTAAAAATTGTAACGCATTACAATCTATAAGGAACATCCTGACCCTACAAAAACATAATCAAGCACACACACACTTTCTTAGTTTTTGGCGTAAGTTTGTGAGTTGTGACCATAACAGAGGCGATGACGATGTTGTACATCGCAGTACATTGTGCAGCAAATGTAATTTAGGCTTTAATGCGTCATTTATGAGTTGTAAAAGAGTAAAGTCTGTCTCTCAGGACATCAAAGTGTTATAAAAGACGGATGTTTGAGCCGTCAGTTGAGGTTTTATCGTCTGGCAGTCATGTGTGAAACATCGCGGTTCATCAGTGATCCGAATATTTCTGCTGCGGTCCTCCACGGCCAAACGCTTTCTGAGTCACATCACAGCTGTGAGTGTGGTCGGCCCTTTGTCTCTTCAAAAAAAAAAAAAAAAGAAAGTATTTTCTTTTCTAGCGTTTGAGCTGCGCAGACCGAGCAGACAAGGTAGCCAAACAAAAGAAAAGATCCACGACTTCCTCCGGAGGCCAACGCCTGACGTGGAGATTAGATCCCCTCGGATCAGAGAGACCGGAGGGGACGGATTGCGGTTCCTTCACGCAGCTTGCCTCGCATGATCCGTCATCCACGCTCTATGTGGCTGTAAGAGAGCCTGAAAGGGAGCGGGGGTTTTACTTGTAGCGGCGAGGATCTGGCAGTATTTCACCGGGGGGGGAACGTTGCCGTCTTCGGTGACGGCTTCCATATGCGAGTATTAAGTGTTCAGCGTTTTCGAATGGAGCCCGTTTTTATTGTCAGTCACCGGAGGACGAAACCACACAGTTCTCTTTTGTTTGTAGTTTTACAAATCAGAAGGTCACCAGCTTCGCTTAGCCTTTTTAGGTAGCGGCACAGTAAAGATATTTAATGAAAAGTCTCTAAGCTGATTGTTTGCTTTGATCCTGTTTAGCTGGGAGAGCGGAGGATTCTCTGATAACAGGACATCAGAGAGCGGAAGGGCTTGTGTAAGGTCGGAGTGAGTGTTACTCACAGCAGGAAGTACATCTAAAGTCGGCTTCCTGAAGAGAAAGTAAATAATAAACTCAAAAATGGCACATAAATCAGAAACCTTAGCTGGAACCGCACAGGGAAGGCTTCCATCACAAGATTAGCTCTTTGCTGCAGTGCCACCTTCTGGTCTCTTCCTGTAACTTCAAATTTAATCTTTCCCATATGAAAGTGTTTGTTTTTTTTTTGTTTTTTTTAATGAGTCTATCTTTGAGCCAACAAGTTAGGCTGAGGGGAATTCAGGTCAGGAAATATCTATCAACAGTGTAGCTGAACTCTTAGCCAGGTAGGCAACTCTCTGATTATTAAAGGTGCATTATGTAACTTTTATTAAAAAAAGGGTTTTTTTTTTTTTTTTTACAAATTTGTTAAAACTATTACCATATCGTGACAGCATGCTATGAGACAGATAATCTGTGAAAAGACAGATTCTGATCTCCACGCTACTATTACCGTCTGAAGAAATGCACCAACCAAAAACAACCAATTAGAGCCAAGAGAAGGGTCTTAGTACTGTCAATCAACCTCATGCACTCTCTGTTCAGTGTGCTAATGGAGGAGAAACAACACACAGTAGAAGGAAAACCATTTATCCATCGTAACTGAGGGCTATGCTAACTTGCCTGAGCATTCACAACTGGCTCTGCTAGCTGAAGCTTAGCTTCCATAGCCTGTTGCTGCATGGAGGATGATTGACAGCGCTAAGATCCGCTTCCTGGTTTTGATTGGTTGTTTCCAGTTGGCACTTGGAGAAGAAATTTTATTTTATTTTTCTATTAGAGTTTCTCAGCTCTACCATAAACAAGATTTTGCTTTGATTTGCTCTCAGATTATATCTTTTTGCTCATTTGTTTCTGTTTTGTCATGTTAAATAGGATACTAAAGTATTTTGTAGACACCTATAAACTTAATCTAAATTCTATCTTAGGTTTTAAGAAAATAAATCAAAAGAAGTGCCACAAGAATGCCTAACGATCAGAAGTTTGATGATACATCAAATTTAACCAATACAGCGTCAGTACTGATATCGGCGATCCTGACCCTGTGTCTACTTAGTATCGGATCGATATCAAAATACGCAGTATCGCACACCTCTGATAGAAACATGTCTCAGCACATTTGCGTAAAATAATTTTAACTAAGCATAAAAAGCATTCATTTATTATTAATGTAAGCAATATTGCTCTGATATAGTTGCAGAGGTCTAGTTCCTATGGCAGATAATCAAGTATGTGAACCAAATATAGACATGTGTACATCTACTGTATTTCATGAGGCAGATTGCTTTTCAAAGTTACTCCACTACAAATGCATGCATGTAGTGGCAAACTTGTCTAGGGGACAACTGAATCTTATGACTAGCATAAGATTCCTCTACTGTCAAGTAGAAATACCTAAAAAGTCATCAGGAATGTTTCCTTCCTCCAGGACGACATGAGCGACTCGCTGCGGGACTACACCAACCTCCCGGAGGCGGCGCCCCTGCTCACCATCCTGGACATGTCGGCCCGTGCCAAGTACGTCCGCGACGTGGAGGAGATCACGCCGGCCGTGGTGGAGCAGTTCGTCAACGAGTTCCTGGCTGAAAAGCTCAAACCAGAGCCCATCTAAAAAGAGACGCATCGAGCAGGAAATGGACATGCAGAATGAGACTGTCACTCAACCCAGATCCGTTCTCTCACACACACGCGCACACACACACACACACACACACACACACACCCCTTGTGTCTCCATCTGCCCTGCTCTCATTCACCTCCACTCCTGACTGTTAGATTAAAACAAATGTCTCCTTACAGACACTTTGACCATTTTTTTAAAAAGTCCTTTTCCTCTCTTTATGGAGTCCTCTCTTTCTCCCGTGGTGCCTTGCATAGTCCATACAGTATGGCGGTCGTTGTAGATGGAGGGGAAAAAGAAAGAAGAGTACATTTCTGCCCAAAAACTCAGAAATTTTGAGATCAATCCCTGAAATTTTCTAGAAAAAAAAACATGGAATTTTTTCTGAGTTTGAAAAGTCTTGAGAGTCTTGAGTCTTTTTGCTTGAGAAACAAAAATTTTAGAATAATTTCAGAGATGTTCTAGGAAAATATATGGAAGTTTCTGAGTTTCAAAAGTGTAAAATGTTTGATTTTTGGAATGAATTTGAAGCATTGAAAATTTTCTACGTTGAATCTCAGAAATTTCCACTTTTTTAAGCTTTTCTACCAATTTTTTTTTACTTTTCAAACTCAAATTTCTTTCTTTCTTTCTAGAAAACGTTTGTGATTAATCTCAAAATTTGAGTTTTTCTACCAAATTTTCAACTGTGGACCTCAGAAATGTTCTTGTTTTTTCTAGATATTTTCAGATGTTTTGGTGGAAATATACTCCTTTTTTTTCTATCTGCAATGGCCCTAATACACCATCGTAATACAGTAATATATGAGGATATTCTGTTTTTGTCTTTTTTTTATATATATACACACACTAGCATTTTTGAGATGTAGAGACAACCTGAGAATCGATCCAGTGGACCTACTTATTGAAGCTGATGCTTTGCTTTCTATTCTCACTGTAAGATCTGTGTTGCTTTTGGTTTTTGTATGACGCTGAGAAAGAATAAAAATGCAGTCATGTAGTAATTCACCTGTATGACAGAGGGTCGGATGGATGTAGCTGTAAGCCTATTTAAATAAAACCGTGATGGGTGTTCACTGTAATCGGCGTGCAGCTTGCTGCCGAACAAGTCGCCGGGTGTTAATGGTGGCTTCATCTCAAAGTCGTTTTGAGGATTTTCTGTGAAGGTCCCCGAATGGGAAAAAAATGTACGGGATGTTTCTGCGATCACAAAAAGACGAGAGGCATTTTTGAGAAGCGTCGAATGTATAAACTCTTATATTCTGTTACTCCAGTCATGACTTCTCTAACACATTAAAACTCACTGGCAAGTACAAAGTTTGTTTTCGGGGTTTTTTGGGGGTTTTTTTACATCAACTTTTGACAGCTTGCTTCCCATGAGTGCTAAGGCTAGTTAGCATGGCTACCGATGATGAAACGGTTATTATGTAACGGTAAGTTGTTTCTCCGCCATTAGCACTTAGCTTAGCTAGTCTGGACCAATAGTTTGCAACCTTAACAGTCCAAACAGTCATGTTTGGCCTTAGTTCAGCTAAATAAAACTAATTTAAAGTTGCAAATATGACATCAGCTTTTGGGGGGAGGGGGGAAAGCCAACTTACAATTTTTGATAAATGTCTACCATGAGATTTTATTTTCCAAGCACAATTTTATTTCTACTTTAGACTGAAAAATAACAAAACTGCTTTCCTTTCATGGAATGTTGACATGCCAGAGTTTCCAACCTAATGACACAAATTAGATCTAAAAATATATTTCTATTAAGTTTCAAATTCAATAGTGGAATTGCAGTCAAATTATTCCAAGGATTCCTGCATTTTCTCTGCATTTAAAAACAGTTGGCTCTTTATTGTTAGCTAAAGTTATGAATGGCCAATGCAGAGGGTCTAAAGAGCCAAGAAATAATTGGAAACCTGCTAAGAGTAACATATTTTTGTAGGAGTAGACATCTAGATAAAACGTGCTTCATGGATACTGTGAGCAGAATAATACCCTTGTGAAATTTTCTAAATGACTTGTTCATACCAAATCGTTTTGTGCTGATGGGAAAAAAACCCTCAGATCAATGCTTTATTTTTACCAACACAGCAAAAATATAGTTGTCTGAACAACCACATTTTGTCTTTATCAGAGAAATTTCAGAAAAGCTGCAAACTAGGTTTGACCTTTGACCTTTGAACTGGCCTTGAGAGTAGCTGCTTCTGTTTTCAAAAAGATTCTAGGATTCTGAGGTCAGGAAAAGGTGAACTTTCATTGAAACACAGGAAACAATATTTCAAAAAAAAACAGGAGAAAGTAGATCTTCAGTTTAAATTTATGGGTTTATTACACAACTCATAATTATACAGTTTACACACTCTATTCAGCTTATTCATGAGAACTTCCTCTCAGCCTTTGACTGCCTCTTCTTCTCAGCAGTCTGTAGAAACATGGACAGCTGCCTCCTGCCCTCAAACAGAAGGATGCTGGCAGCCATGGCTGAATTCAGACTGTCCACGCCTGAGACGATGGGAATAAAGAGTCTGGAACCGTCGGTTTTCTCAGCTAGCCGCACCGCCTCTGTGCTCAGGCCGCGTGTCTCTCCGCCTATCACCAGAGCGGTGGGACTCTGGGCCCAGTTCTCATGGTACAGTTTGGTTTCCACTCTGGGGAGGGAAAGACCCTCGTCCTCTGAGTCAGAATCAGAGTCGGAGTCCGAATCATATTCCTCGTACTCGATAGTTTTCCTTTTAGGTGACGTGCTGACCCAACCGTAATCTCCCGGTTTAGACAGCTTGTTAGTCCCGTCTTCGTCGTCAGGCTCTCTTATGTCAGCCACGTGCGCAGTTACTGAGTTAGGGAGATGGTTTCTGATCTCGTCCCAGTCCAGATTGGGATAAACGGGAAGTCGGAAATGGGCGCCCATTCCTGCCCGCAGGACTTTGGGCTCCCAAACGTCAACGCAACCTGTTGACAGTCAATGAAACGATTAGAGTTCCTATATTGAAAAGAAAAAAAACAAAAAGATAATTATGAGAAATATTAGCATTTTTTTAGATTTTGTTTTCTGTTCATCTATGGTTGTTAGATCTCCTTCTCTCTGACGGTCTCTAAAAGTCATATAGAACTTTTAAACAATACGCAAATTTTATGTGAGTTTGGGCTGATATCGATTTCTGACATAAATATTGCTGTCAAGGCCATTAATCAACATCTACCCATATATATTAAATGAATATCTATGCATTTAATGCCTTGGGGGCATTAAATGCCCCCCAAGGCATTTTATCTACTGTAGGGACAAGTCTCCTACAGAAGATAAAAAGTTCTTTTTTTCTGAAAAAGTTGTGATAATTGGATCCCTAAATGAGTTTTATTGGCTCTTAGGTTGTAAAGGATACAAAACTCTCCAGCTATGAACCATATGTGTTCTTTCGTGTTAAAATCTGACCACTGTGAAAATATTTCCTACAGATTTAAGATTAATTTTTCTATTTACACTATAAATGGGCTTTAAGGAAGAAATCTACCTTTGGTAAGAAGGACTTCATGACAGCCAGCAGCAGCTGCACATCTCAGCATGGTCCCAAGGTTACCAGGATCACGGACATTGTCGCATATCAGCGACAACGGCAGCGACTGATCTCTCTGTGAAAAACTGAGCCGAGCAGGATCAGGCCGGGCAAATATGGCTGCAGAAACACAACAAAATCAAACCAAGACAACTTTTTTTTAAGGTTTTATTGGCTCTAGTAGCCTTTATTTGATAGTTAATTGACAGGAAAGTGGGTACTGAGAGAAGGGAAAGACATGCAGCAAAGGTCGCCAGGCTGGGAATCGAAACTGCGACGGCCGCGTCGAGGACAAAGGCCTCCATATGTGGGTTATGCTTGACCCCTGTGCCACCACAGCACTACCCAAGAAGAACTGTTTAAAAACATCTGCGTCTTCATAAACTGAACGAACGATCCTTACCGATCACTCCCTGTGGGGCGACGACGTCGGACCAGATCTTGATGTCCTCAAACTTGACTTTGACGACCGTCGCCCCTCTCAGCTTGTCCAGCGGCAGCTCTCGGAGCCGATCCGCCATGCTGAAGAACACTATCTGTGGGCGGGCACCGACCTCCAGGGCGTCGCAGATCAAACGCCTGCCCTCCAGGAGGATTTTACCCTGCTGCTCCCGAAACTTCCTGGATTGAGCGACGCTGACCAGCCTCCTGCAGAGAAGCAGAGCAACCACAGCGAGGTATATAAAAAAAAAATCAAAATCAAGCAATATCCAGAATCTCAGCTTGTCTTACTACATGGAGTTTGTTCTATCTGCAATACTATTAGGTTGCAGGAATTTTCCACACCACCTTTTACAGACCATGACCAAAGAGAAACATGGTGGCGGTGTAGAGTCATGCTGTGGTGGTAGCCACCTAGGAGGCACTTTAGCATTACTTTGGCCACATAATATAACAGCTCTGTTAAGATATTGTAGCCACACTGTTACTTACAGAAAAACATTAAATACTTGAGTAGTACAGTTAATTATTTTACTATAGTGTGGTTACAATATCAGATAAAGGCTTCCATATTCCGTGACCGTGTATATTTACACAAAAGTTATAGTATTAGTATTAAATTCTTTGTTCGGCTTTTTCTTCTTCCTTTTTTTTTTTACCATCTACTGTAAAGCTTACGTCTTTGGCGTAGCATAGTGTTAACCATAGAATTAACATGCAACAGCGCCTCCTGCGGTCACAGAAAATATTGTAACAGATGAACGAGGAGTTGGTGTAGAAATAAATTGAATCATTAATAATTTCTCTTCCATTTCACAATTATCCACAACTTTATGTTTGTAAGACACAAGTAATTTTGTGGCTCTAATGTAACCGAATGTAAAAAAATAAAGAAAAGTTCAGTTACTCAATATAATAACAAAGTGTCAATAGGAAATCCACAGAACAAACGGCATGAATAAACGCAATTTAGTGATGTTTCTCCCCAAAAATACAGTTATTGGACACGAGAAAAAAAAAAAGACTCGAAAATATTTTTCGGCACTATTCAATCCGACAGGAAGTGTGGAGAAAGACATGCCGCAAAGGAATAGGGGACGGGAGTCCAACTCGGGAAAGCAGAGTTGAGGTAGCCCCTTTATACGGGGCGCAACACGTATTAACCACTGTGCCACTCCAATAATAATAATAATAATAATAATAATAATAATAATAATAATCAAAAAGGGAAAGTAGATAAACTGCTTACGATAATCTTTTATCTCCTGGTAAAGCCCTCTCATAGCGCAGTCCGTCTACTGAATCCTTTGTAATGTTATCATAGGGTTGCTTTGTTGTCTTACTCCTCATGTTAACAGCATCACTCCTGTCGGGTTGCTCTCCAGCAGCTGTAGGTCTGTTCCTAACCATCTTCTTCTCTGCTGCCTGTGGATGCTGCTGCTGCTGCTGCGGCAGCGGCAGCGGCTTTACAACTTTACCCGCGTCATTGTCAGGAAACAGCACCCTGACTGGTTTCCTCCTCAGGCCACGAAGAAAGCGCGTTGATTCCACTATAATGTCACTTCTGGTGGAAAGAAAAACATTTTTCTCTACGGGCAAAAGACGTATCACGCCTCTTATGAGCGCAGCCATTTTTTTTAATTATTATTTCTTCTTCCCTTGTCTAGAGGAACTTTTTATTACAACAAAAAACCTGGGTGCCGCCACCTACTGTAAGTTACGTGCATTTACACGTCTGTAATTTCTCTGGCTTTCCCAATAAGTTACTAACCCGCTTTTTTTTTAATTATCCATAATGTATAACTGTTTAGTTAATATCTCATTTTAGTTGGATATATTTGTTTGTTAAAGTTGCGGTTAAACTTACAGGTTCTCTGTCAGGCACTGACTCTAACCACATGGTGCATTCAAGTACACGTTGTAAACAAAATGTTTATACTGTCAAAGGTATTAATGGTTTTAGCATTTCATAAATAGCAACCTTGATCAACCCTCAGCTCATTTTACTCTTTAAGCAGGTTAAATAAATTAACTCTTGACAAAACATACCGGAGTTGTACTCTCTTTTCCAATTGCTGCAAATTAAGTTATGCAAAGAGCACCAATTCTCTGATAATTTGCAGCCGAATTTGAGCAGCATGTCTTTGGTATTTCGCTCATTTTATTGGTATTTGCAGTGTTGTTCTTGGAATATTTTGTCCAAGGCACTTCTGATAAGAACATATGGGTGTGAAAGATTCCCAATCGGTGTTAATTTAAAGAACTGGTTTTATAAGGAATCTAGACTGCATGTGATCTCTTCTAGTTTAAAACCCTACACCAAGT